CCTTTCGCGTTATCTATTGTTTTTATTTTCTCTACTAGTTTGTGGTTGAATTTCCGTAATTTAAAATTGTTTGGATCTTGTTCTTTCTAGAAACGCGTTTATCAATTGAAAATTTCCAGGTATTTTGATGGACTGGTTCAGGGAATCATGAACAATACCTTTGATTGCTTGCGATATAGTAAAATGATTATTTTGCGTTGAAAATGAAATTACTTCTTTTTTTTATGAAGTGCGAAAGCGAGTGATATGAGGATATAAACAGTTTTCCCATGCAAATGACAGATGTTTGATTCATTTGACGTTTGGGAGTTTAGTTTGGTAGATAACGCGGTGATAATGATGTTGTTTGGATTACATATAATCTGCAATCAACTTCAGCAACTGATGAAAACAACTAAATTATTCATATCTTAGCTAGTTCTTGAGAAAGTGTGAATTGGTACCCTTAGGATGGGTTAGACTTCCGTGCAAAGGCCCAATATTGGTACCCTTAGGATGGTTGATTAGTGTCCAATTACTACTATGTTTTATATTCTCTATTTAAAAATGTTAAAAGAGATTGTTTCTCTAATCAAGGTTGTAAATTAGGTTCTTTTAACTCTATCATCTGAAAGAAAGGGTTTTTACGTAATCATTGGGGTAGATAATCTTTTTGACTTGCTCACAGAGCATTCTGTAGATATAAGGGAAGTATGCATGTGTTCACTTGTGAAATCTTACAAATACTCTACTCAAGAACTGTCTTCTCAAAAAAGAACTACCATCATATGGAAGTGGGTTGGCCTGTTTCCTATTATACTGTTTCCTTGCAAAATGTTTCTGTGTTCTTGGAATTTGTGCAGGAGATATGGCAATGAAATAAAATGAAAGTTAAACTATAATATTGCACAACGTGCGCCCCCCAACACTTGATGTGGATGATTTCGTTTGACTCTCAATTTTCACTTGCCAAGTTACCTCTTCTTCCTTTTCATATTGCAAATAAGTTACTGAAATAAAAAATTTTCTCTATGAGGGGATCGATGGACCTGTTAATAGAGTTTCTCTGTTTGACTATGTGTGTGCATGGAAGCTGCACACAAACTGCAGATGATTTCTGAAACTATTGATATAATACCTTGTAACGGATTTGCATTTCTACGAGTTTGCTCCATTACTGCTGCACAAATTTGTTATTCATAAATTTTCTTGCCATCTGCAGATATTGAACAATTGCTGCTAGAAGCTCAGCATAGGTGGTTGCGGCCTGCTGAAATTTGTGAAATTCTTCGTAATTATCAAAAGTTTCATATTGCATCAGAGCCTCCAACTAGACCATCGAGTATGACTATTGCAATTACTGTGTAGGAACTGGATTTAATATTTATCTCATACAATAATGTTGGATAACCAAACCAATTTAGCATGGCGCAGTCAAAAGCATTTTTAAGAGCATGGTGGAAGTGCGGAGCTTATCATTGTATTATCAATTCAATTTTGTTATTTTTGTGTATGTCAATTTGTTCTTTTGATACTCAAAAGAAGTTTCTATTAGAACCACATAAGGGACTTATTTCAACTGTACTTATAAGAGGCACGCGAGAATAACAGAAGTTAATATTCATGGATTTTTTCTGTTGTACTTTTTTTTAATCAGAGTAAGTTCAAGTTATTTCTTACTTGGATTTCCTAGCATGTATTTGTATAATTTGCAGAAAACATTAAGTTTTTTGTCTTGAAACAAGTATCAGTCTTCTGAAATGTTTTAAACCTGAGTTTGACATGAAATTATTTTGTTACTGTGACCATAATGATTTTATGACCTAATTATAAATATACATTTCATCCACAAGCTTTTTAAAGGAATAGTCTAGCTTGACAGTCCTTCCATTTTCAGGTGGTTCGTTGTTCCTTTTTGATCGTAAGGTGTTGAGATACTTCAGGAAGGATGGCCACAATTGGAGAAAGAAAAAGGACGGAAAGACCGTGAAAGAAGCGCATGAGAAGTTGAAGGTAAGATTTCAAAGGGGTTATTTCCTTTATTTTTTATGTGCATGTATTAATGCTTATGTATGTTCTGCCATGCCATTGTATGATCAACTGTAGTGCAATATGAGGCTTCTAGAAGAAATAAGTATTCGTATGTTTCAAATAAAATATGTTTAGGGCTTGGAGCTAACATCCTTTATGGAATTTTAGGTTGGCAGTGTTGATGTATTGCATTGCTATTATGCACATGGTGAAGAGAATGAAAGCTTTCAAAGGCGTAGCTACTGGATGCTTGAACCGTAAGTATGAATTTGGTTAAGCTTTCACTCTCTTTAATTTACTTATCAGGTTTCCTTTTGGCCAAGTTCTGTTGTTTAGATTATATAATTATGATACTTGAAGAGTTTGGACACTATTGAAACTGAAAACCATCATCAAGGTTGATAGAATGCAACACCATTGATAGCCCAAACAGCCCAGACTTTTCAGTAGCCCAAACACCATTGGTAGCCCAAATTCACCTGTCCCCCCCCCCCCCAACCCCCGCCCCGCTTCTCCAGAAAGTTACGCTGGAGGGTCACTCATTTTTTTAGAAGAAAAAGTCTAATTAAATAGCACTAAGGGGATACATATAAATTTTTTTTACAAATATGTTAAAACATCAATTAGATCCCCCAAAATGTCATAAGCATAAAGAGGATGACCGCTAATAAAAAAACGTAGGGTCTAGTACCAAGTATTCTCGATCCTATCAAAAGACAATCCATGCACTTAAACTTTTCTATTTCTTTCTTCCTAAATAACTCATAAGGTAGCTAAAGAGATGTTATTTAAAGAAAAAAAGGTAGCTAAAGAGATGGGGTTTAGTTCTTGTTGTGGCGTTTGTTCCCATGGATGCCTCTCTAGGTCCATATTTCTCTTTGACTGAGTCAGCCACAACACAGTTCACCTCTTAGAGACTATAAGCCAAACACCAAGGCCAATAGGAAAAAGGACACAATACTTGACACAATTTCCTTGCATAAGTAGCGTCCATTCATGATGACCATTCCCCTACTAATCAGATTGTCTATTGTTAGGATACAACCTCTCTCCCAATACTTGAGTTCAGAAAAAAAAGAAGTGTTGTCTATACTTGGAATCGATGCTCATGTATCTTCTCTAGGAGGACAAGGCATATTGGGAGGAACGATTAATTTTTTTTTTTGAAATACATTGAGAGGAACTATTACAATTATATGAGTTCACTGAGAGCACTCTTGCTGCTGATATTTGTCTTTTGAGGGCTAGGGTAATCTTAGATAGTTGGTGAACAATTCATCACTTAATATTTTATTAGAATTATGTAGCTGTCTATTAAAAAAAAGGAAGTATGCAGCTGTGCAGCTGTGTGATTTATCAACATGGCATCCTTGGTTATATAATCTTGTCAAAGCTTAACATATGTATTGGACTAAGTTCTTTTGATGAGTGATATAACTCTAGTGACAAGTTGTAGATGTGCCCCTAAGAATCATCTTCAATGCTCAAACATTTTAAGGTTGAGACTCGAGAAACTTATTTTGGTCAGTGGATATAAATTTGGTCACTAAATTATAAAGTTCTAGTTCGAAGTCCAGTTACCAACTTCAAGGCTTTAATGGCGATTTTTTTTTTCTTCTTAAGAAAGAGCTATCAACTTCAAGGCCAGAACATCGGTAATGCTGAGAATTCAATTGAAAAAAACTTATTTATATGTTACTAACATTGTAGTAAATTTGACCTGAAAAAAGAGATGGATATTTACCATACATATTCATGTGCCATCCAGAACACGTGCTAATTTGCCAAAACGTTTTCTCACTGTCAAATCAATAACGTGATGAAAAAATATAGAAGTTAGGCTTTCCATGAACACAAATGTAGCTGATTAGAAAACAACAGAGACCAACATGAATACCATGCATCTGGGGATTGGTTAGGTGAGATTGTAGATTGTCTTTTAAATATCACTTCAATGCTAGCTCTAAATTTTTTTATTTTTGCAAGAGCTATCTTATTTACTTTCTGTCTGGCATTTTTTTAAGGAATATCACATTTTCATCAATTGCATAAAATTCAGAGATGGAGATGTTGAAAATGTTGCTGGGTTAAGAAGATGTGTTTGTTTTCATGCTCTTTTAGTCCCTACTGTTGGTCCACAAATTTTCTGTGATCATGCAGCAGTCGCTGATTCTAATGATCTTGGATTTCAGAAATTTTATCCTTTTGTTATAAAATAATCCATTTTTCTTGAAATGAATTTTGGGAAGTTTTATTCTGAAGTGTTTTATTCCTTGTAGGATGTTGCCTACATTGTTGATAATTTTGTGCAATATTTCAGGGATTTGATGCACATTGTTTTCGTTCACTACTTGGAAGTGAAGGTAATAATAAATCTTTCCTTTCTTTTCATTTAAAGTATGGCTTTACTAGAGATTCTATACATTCTATTATTAGCTGTGACATGATCTTAAAATTTGAAATTACCCTTTGCACATCACATATTAAAACTAAGAATTAGAAAATTTCCAGTGATTGGCGTTAGTAGGCCTAATAGAGGCTCTCACCTAGTTTTGTTCTTCTTATTACATGGGTGGAACCCTCTGAGTGTATTTTGAATGGAAGGTAATACCTAATTTTGATGAAAAGAAATTGTCAAGCATTTGACGTGGAAGTTCTTTGTTTCATGAGTTTTTTTTTGTTGGGGGGGTGGTCAAGAAGGTATTGTTCATGTGATTTGCAAAGCATTTTATATGAAAAGAATAGTTAGCTGTTGGGACTTGCATGATATCTTGGCAACTATGTGCAGAAAAGTGAAAAAGCTTGTTTTGTCCTTTTATTGAGAGAATTATTGGTAATGGAAAGCATATGATAACTTAAGGACCATCTGTAAAAATGTGAAGCAACTTCTTTCATTTCACTGTCAACCAGATGTTTCTGAAGAAAATATTTCACTTCACAATTCTTTTTCTTACAATGAATTAATAAATAGACTGTAATGTTGGATTCTACTTAACCCACTTCATTAGGTAAATAACCATGAGCGGATTTTTAAGATTTTATAGGGAAAGAAAAGACTTATCAAAAAGCCACCAAGGTGCATCAGATTCACACACACACACAGACACAGACACAAACACATTTATAAAATATTATGAAAGGATTTTTCTTCATGCACATTGGTTTAAAGTGTGCTACAGAAATAATCACAAAGCCCTGAAAGTTTCTATGGTTGGAATGTAATGTTGGAATTTTTTGGTTCTTTTCTGAGTCCATGTTTTCATGGGATAGAATGCTGTTCTTTTTTTCTCCTTGAGAGAAAAAGGATAATATATTAACATGGCATCAATTGGGTGTCAACCTGTAGAAAATAAGGAATAATTAATTAGAAAATAAGGAGAAATTAAGTTGTATTTTCTGGGTATTTTCCAGATTGTATATTTTCTGTTTTATTAGCTGTAGATTCTGTATATGGAGGGAGTCACAAATAGATTTTCTCCTCCCCATAAAATTATTAGGATCTTGTTAGAATTTGTTAGGTTTGTTAGCATTTAGGTTGTATAAATACACATTATTCATGATGGAAATACATGAGAAACAAAATTTCCTCTCAAATAGCTTCATGGTATCAGAGCCTTACCTGATCCAAGAAAAGTGATCCCTGTTGAGCCGTAATCACAAATGGCCACAGGCGAGCTTTCATCTTCTTCGGAGGTCTCATCTGGTTCTTATCATCACACAGCAACCAGCAATGTTGTGAGTGAGATGTCTGTGTCCTGCATTACAGGACACAAACTCAAAGGTAGTAATTACCTATAATAGTCGTCCTTTGTCTGATTATTCATCCGGGGAAAGGGTCGCTACAGACATCTTACTGGCGAAGTCGTATCTCCTCCAGCAACTAACTCAAGCGCTTGCGTATGAGAGATTGAAGACAGCTTGGTGATGTCGTGGCTCATCACGTCAATGACCCTAGAAATTGGAGAGAATTTCCTATTCTATGAAATTGCTCACGAAATTTGGGAAATATGTCAGGAATTTTACTCCAGCAAAGAAAACACTTCCGCCATTTTCGAGATAGAGTCCGCACTTCATGATCTTCGGCAAGGTGAGTTAAGCGTCACTCAGTATTATAACGCCTTAACTCATAACTGGCAGCAGATGGATATCTTTGAAGAGCGTTGATGGAGCTGCCCTGAAGAGGCGAAGAACTTCAAGTCGTTCGTTGAAGAGAAACATGTCTTCAAATTCATGCTGGGGTTGAATAAGAACCTCGACGAGATTTGGGTACGCATGTTGAGTACCAAACTCTTTCCGAGTCTTTGGGAGGCGTTCTCTGAAGTCCGACATGAAGAGAGCCGCAAGAAGGTCATGATGGGTGATATTGAGCAGGCCCACCTGGCTAAGAACTTTTCAGCTTTCACAACTCGAGCTGTCGACGCTCGAACGAAGAAGACGAGGCCCTAGTGTGATCACTGTAAGAAGCTAGGGAACACTCGTGAGCGCTGCTGGAAGCTCCATGGCAAGCCGAGTGACTGGAAGCCTTCGGGTGAGTGGAAATCCTCCAAGGCAGAAATCTCAAGCAAGCATCAGGGCAACCACATAATTGTTGAAGAAATGCCCTCTGATGTTGTGGAGAGCAGTCCCTTCAGTCCTGAACAACTGGAAGCCCTTCAGCTATTTCGTCTAAAAAATTCTACCCGGTCAGTGCCTCTATGGCACACAAAGGTAATATCTATGGTTTATCTGTTTTTTTAGAAAAAGGACAGATGTGGGTAGTAGATGTTGGAACATTTGACCATATGAGTGGAGATGCCTCAATGTTTCAAAAATACAACAAGTGTGAAGAAGTTTTTTCAATAAGGATTGCTGATGGTTCTCTTTCAAAAGTGGCTGGAATGGGCTCTGTAAATTTATCTCCAAATTTAACTCTGTGTTCAGTTCTCCATGTTCCAAATTTGAATTGTAATTTACTATCAGTCAGCAAGTTATGTGAAGACTTAAAATGTGCTGCAAAATTTGTCTCTAATATGTGTGAATTTCAGGATTTGGACTCGGGGAGGACGATTGACAGTGTTAGAATAATCTCAGGATTATACCTACTTTAAATCAACACTTCTATAAGACAAGCTTATAAAGCTGTATGTGCAAACTCTGTTTCTGTTTCTGCAAATAATGACTATGATATCATTTTGTGGCACTATAGATTAGGACATACAAATTTCATGAATCTGAAAAAGATGTTCTCTTTACTATTCAAAGAAAAAAATCTAGTTTCTTTTCAATGTGAAGTATGCCAATTTTTTAAATATGTTCGAAGTTCATTCCCTAGTTTACCATACAAATCTTCAAAACAATTTGCATTGATTCATAGCGATGTATGAGGATCCTCCAAGGTCTCCAACATCACCGGAACTAGATGATTTGTATCCTTCATTGATGACCATACAAGAATTACGTGGGTGTTTCTCATGAAAGAAAAATCAGAAGTTGGATTTCTATTTAAAAAATTCCATACAATGATTCGAACCCAGTTTCAGTTTACCATCCAAGTGTTGAAATCTGACAATGCTTGTGAATATTTTGAAGCCACAATTGAAAAATATTTTAATGAACATGGAATTATTCACCAAAGCTCGTGTTCATACCTCACAGCAAAACGGCATAGCCGAAAGGAAAAATAAACATATTCTTGAAGTAACTAGATCAATTATATTCACCACTCATGTACCAAAATTCTTCTGGGGAGAGGCAGTTCTTTTCGCTACCTACATGATAAATTGGATGCTCTCCCGGATCTTACAATTTCAATCACCTTATGCCATTCTTTCACAAATCTTTCCTGCATCTCATATTTTAAATATATTACCACTCAAAGTTTTTGGCTGTTCAGCTTATGTCCATATTTACAAACATCTCCGTGGGAAACTTGACCCAAGAGCCATAAAATGCATTTTTGTTGGATACTCTGTTAATCAGAAAGGATACAAGTGTTTAGTTTCGGAAATCCGTCGCTTCTATAATACAATGAATGTCACATTTTTTGAAAACCAACTTTTTTACCCCACAACTGATATTCAGGGGAAGACATTTACTTAAAAATATCAGTTATGGGATGTGAGTATACCTCCTCTATATCCACAGAGTCATTTCTCACCAGACAAACCTTCCCTAGAACCTGAACCAAAGCCAGTTACAGAGAACACATTACCTGTAGTTAGTAAGGTACGTGTCTATACTAGAAGAAACAAAAGAAAAGTACCTGAATCATCCAAGCCTTGCCATGAATCCACCATTGATTCAGGTAATGTAATCTCTGCTCCTGCTTCAGATACTGATATTGATGTTCCTATTGCTTTGAGAAAGGGGACTCGGACATACACTAAAAATCCTATACAAGACTATATTTCTTTGGACAAACTATTTTCGGAACATCTTGCTTTTATATGCAGGATAGACAGTAGTTCACCAGAGCCCAAAACAATTCATGAAGTTTTGGAAATACTTGAATGGAGGATAGCTGTTCAAGAGGAAATCAAGACACTTGAAAAGAATGAGACATGGGAATTAGTTGATCTACCTCCAGGAACGCACCAAGTGGGGTGCAAATGGATCTTCACAACTAAGTATAATTCAGATGGGAGTGTGAATTGGTATAAGGCTCGCCTGGTAACCAAATGTTATACTCAGTCATATGGAGTGGACTATCAGAAGACTTTTGCTCCAGTAGCCAAACATAATATTATTCAGGTACTTCTTTCACTTGCATCTAACCTTGATTGACCTTTTTGTCAACTAGATGTGAAGAATGCATTTCTTAATGGTGATCTAGAGGAAGAAGTATATATGGATATGCCATCAGGGTTTGAACTAACAGACAATCATTAGAAAGTGTACAAACTGAAGAAATCACTCTATGACTTAAAACAATCTTTAAGAGTATGGTTTGATAGATTCACAAGAGCTGTAAAACATGAAGAATATGAACAATGTCAATCTGATCATTCACTATTTGTCAAGCATTGCACCTCAGGTAAGAAAGCCATTTTGATTGTATACATTGATGACATCATTCTTACAGGTGATCATGTTGAGGAGATTCAGAAACTCAAACAATTCCTAGCCCAAGAATTTGAAATTAAAGATCTGGGGATACTAAAGTACTTTCTTGGTATGGAAGTGGCTAGATCCAATAAAGGAATTTCAATATCTCAACAAAAGTACGTTCTGGATCTCCTCAAGGAGACTCGGATGCTAGGAAGCAAGCTTGCTGACACTCTTATGAATTCAACTATTAAGCTTGGATCCAAAATCAGTGATAAAACAGTTGACAAAAGGAGGTACCAAAGATTCGTTGGGAAGCTTATCTAACTAGCACATACAAGACCTGACATTAGTTTTGCAGTGAGTACAGTAAGTCAGTTCATGAATCAACCAATTGAGAAATACATGAGAGTTGTATATCGAATTCTGAGGTATTTTAAAATGAATTCAGGACAAGGGTTGTTCTTTCAAAAGACAGATAGAAGAGATGTTGAAATTTACACTGATACAGATTGGGCAGGCTTTACAAGTTACAGGAGATCTACATCAGAGTATTGTACCTACGTTTGGGGGAACCTGGTCACCTGGCGAAGTAAGAAACAGTCAGTTGTATCTCGCAGCAGTGCAAAATTTGAATTTAGGGCCCTTGCTCACGGTATATGTGAAGGTATGTGGTTAAAGAGAATACTTGTCGAATTAAAGGCTCCTAACAACGTGCCTATGAAGGTGTGATGCGACAATCAATCAACCATCTGTATGGTTAAGAACCCTGTACATCATGACAGAACAAAACATGTGGAGATCGATCGTCATTTTATCAAAGAGAAATTGGAAAATGGAACTATAACACTAATGCACATTTCAACCGGTCAACAGATTGCGGACATTCTAATGAAAGCTCTACCTAAAAGAACCTTCGATGATATAATATCCAATTTAGGTTTACTCAACATATATGTAAACTAGATTAATGAGGAGTGTAGAAAATAAGGAATAATTAAGTAGAAAATAAGGAGAAATTAAGTTGTATTTTCTGGGTATTTTTCAGATTGTATATTTTCTGTTTTATTAGCTGTAGATTCTGTATACGGAGGGAGTCACAAACAGATTTCCTCCTCCCCATAAAATTGTTAGGATCTTGTTAGAATTTGTTAGGTTTGTTAGCATTTAGGTTGTATAAATATACATCATTCATGATAGAAATACATGAGAAGCAATATTTCCTCTCAAAGAAGGGGAATTTACAAGGTAATTAAGACGTTAATAAGGTAACTTAGGTCCTCAACAGAAGTAAGAGGGCTGCTGTTAAATAAAAAGGGAACTATAAGTCGCTAACTCTACCGAAAGAGGAAGTAAGCCCTTCTATCACCCCACAAGGTTGCCAAGGGAATAAGGGAAATAAGTTCTCTCCTCTTCTTATTTCTTGGATACTTTGTTAAGCTCAGATCATCAGCAACAGAGTCAGTGATCCAAACACAACCCCAGAAAATCAGGAGCAATGCACCACAAATGCGAATTGAAGGAGCACCACAAAAGGAGGGATAGATGGGGTGTTGGGGTGGTTTCTTTGTCCAGTTTTAAAAAGGGATTGGGCTGGACTGCTTTATTTTATTTAATCGGTCTTCTTTCTTCTGTTTCTTTATTTGACTTTATGTTTTTAGCTTAGGATGATTCTTTATTATGCGTCCTTGTACTTTCTCCTTTTATATTCTTTCTTCATAAAAAAGAAAATTGCAAGTGCTACCCAGGGGTTTTGCTCTTTCCATTTAGAAACGGATGCCCCAATAATCTTGTGATTGGATAAGCAATTAGAGTTTCTTCTTCCAAAGGTGGTTCATTTGTCTGATACTTCTTTATGGTATTTTGGGAGCTCCCCCTGGTTACCTAGCGATGGGTTTATCTTTATCTTTTTTTCTTTTTAAAGAACTATGATGTTTGCTTGAGTTTATTGCCTTGGATAGTTCAATCTAGCATTGGGTGAAGTGGTTGATTTCTTCTTTATTCTCTAATGTTTAAGGAATGACAAGAATTTGAGCATTAATCCTTTGTCTTTTTATCAAACACAGTAAGGAGGTATTTTAGCATTTTCTCTTGTAGAAACAGTTTGAGTTTGGTGAATTTGTTTTTTTTTTAATGTGTATTTTTAACAGTGGTTTATTTAGCATATGCCTGTGATACGTTATGGATCTTTTACTTGCTTCTCTTTCAGCATGTCTAACTCTTACATATCACATGTTATTTTGTCGCTATCAGGGCAGTAGAACCAATATTGGAGGCATTAAAGAAACTAAAGAAGTTCTATCAAACTTCCAAGACGGCAGTTCTTCAAGAAATACGGATTCAACAAGCCCAACCAGCACTTTGACGTCATTGTGTGAAGATGCTGATTCTGGTATCTTTTTAGCCTCAGATTTTATTTCTTTTGAAATCTCTTTATCTGTTTATATTGATTTAAATAAAAAAACTATAATTTTTTTTTATATATTTTTAAATATGGTGGAAATAATGAATGCAAGATCTGATTTTTATGAGCTTTATCAATTTCTATGACCTCTTTTATTATGCACATAATTGCCATTGCAGCTTACATGATATTTGATGCAGGAGATAGTCATCAAACAAGTTCTGGCTCGCATATATTACCTGAATCACCACATGTGGGGTGTGCTCAAATTACAGAAAAAAGGGATTTTGATCTCTTGAATTCTTATTTAATGCAGTCCTCTGGTAACATTCCTCTTATGTCTATGCTGTTTTATTGACTAGTTAATTGCTTTTTCACTGTTCACATGCATAATCTTTGTAACTTCAGCATGAGCTTGGCTTTAAATCTGATGCCGTACTTAACCCTCTTGCTAGGCAAGCAAGAGAGTTGGACAACAGTTCCTAGCATATCAAATATCCATGGGAATAGTCCTGTTGAAAGTGTCTCTCAGAGTGCAGCTGAT